TCTGTTTTCAGTTTTGTTTTGTTTTTTTTTTTGAGTTCTTTTCAAAATTTATAAAAATGGACAAAAATAAATTCGTTTGGAGTAGTGAAAAAACACATTTGGTAATTGAAAAACAAGAAAGTTATCCTGAATTATGGGACACGTCCTCAAAAGACTATAAGAATAAAATTAAAAAACAAAATGCTTTAAAGGCAATAGCCAATGATATAGACGCACCCGAAGAAGAGGTCAAAAGGAAATTGCACAACCTCCGAACACAGTTTGGTCAAGAAGTAAACAAAGAAAAGAAAAAAAAAGTGGCCAAAGTGCTGATGATGTATATGTTAGCAAGTGGGAGTTTTATAATGACATGAAATACATGACGTCATCTCATGTACCCAAAGAAACTGAGGATAATTTGGTAAGAATAAGAAAATACGGATATATAATCGTTTTTCTTGTTTTTTTTCTTACCTGTTGCCAAAAATCGAAGAGTAACTAAAAGCCGGTCTTTGGGAGGTATAGCCAATCTCATTTTAGTATCCTGCTTTTGAATACTTGTTTGAATTAAAGATAAAATGTATTCAAAATCATCATTAGATATTTTCAGGAAATTTTTCAATTGCATGGAGTCTTCGGTCCGCAATTCTTCAAGTAATGTATTTTGGAAACTTAAATCAACGCCCCGCAGCACCCAATTTTTCACCCAAACACTTCTTTTTGTTTTTTTTTTTTTAATTTGCTTCTTTTTAATTAAATATGCTGCGATGGCAGCTGCCAATCTTATTTTGCCACAAGACATTTTTATACTGTCATTCGTAAAAAAAGCAAACTACTGCAAGCTGTACTCACATTGTGTGGAAACACGTCTGCAATTTCTTGCAGCAAGTTCGTAATGATAACTTCTACAAACTACTTCTGGAAGCAGACTTCCGTAAGTTTCGGTTTGAGTGGAAACACTTCAGCAAATACTTGCAGAAGTTCTTCCGCAAGTGACTTGCTAGTGGACACACGGCTTTACATTTTATGTTGGACAGTGCAAGTACATATAGTTCGTTTTCTTTTCTATAATACTTGTCAATGTAAATTTGTTAGGGTTTCTGTTGGTATTATCTAGGACCCTTATAAAATTTATGTTGTTTTCCTGATTTTTAGTAACATTTTCAATAAATAAATAGTTGAGGTTAAAATACTAATAAATTTTTAGATAAATACGATTTTAACGAAGTACATATTTATTGTAAAAGCGTTTTTTATGCACCTTTTCTTTTTGAATAACGAAATCTCAAACGTCAGTGTGACATATCTATTTCAAAACATGATAAAACAAAACTCCCTGTTAATTTTGCCAACTTTACAACAATTTGCCAGGTATTATAGAAAAAAAAATAAACTATAGTAGTTTCGTAACTATGATTACTGCGTTCATATATTGCGAGTTATATGAAATTCCCGATATAACATGAAAATATAAACAATATTACTAACAAATGATATTTGACAATTAAAACGTCAAAAAAAATTTAAGGATGTCAAGAATGACGTTTCGAACAATTATTATAAATTAATTTATTAATACACCCAAAAATAAACTTATATATTAATAAATGATTTATTATTATTAATATTACATGATTTATGTGGTTTTTGAGCACCACAAACAAATTTTATAACAGTTTCCTATAAAAGATGTAAATTGGGTTGCATTAACAAATTCAAAAATAAATTAAAGAAATACTAACCTGTAATACCCCAAAAGCACAAAACACACACTAAAATGCATTTAATCATTATTAAATAAAGTGTAAACTAACAATCTAGAGTAGTTAAAAGTTCAGATTGAATTGATTTCAACTTTTTGGTTTCATTTCGTTGCGTTTCGGTTTAAATACGATCCGTTATGCGTACAGAAGCGCAAAATTTGCTAGTTATTAACGATTATTAAACAAAATTGTAACGGGTAGACCCATATGATAACCGAAGCGGTTTTAATAAATTAAAAAACGACGATTCACCGATAAATCGGACGTTAATGGATGCGAGTAGCGCCCTCAATCGGCGTTTATCGCTAAGAACTACAATTAACGTTCATTTACATCGGATATTTACATACAGATGGCGCTACTTTATCTAACCCTATGATTTATTATGGTAAAAAGTTAAAATTAAAATAAAACTCACATAATTTAAAATAATTTTATGGCAATCTTTCTATTAGTTGTATCATTCTTTCTAAAATAACCGCATTATTGCTTACACACTGTGAAATAGTATACGGAGGACCTATACTGAAATCATCACGAATTCGTAATAACTTCCCATCTTCAGTCACATCAATCAAATTCTTTATAAACCAATTTTTTAATCGTATTCTTCTTTCTTCGATATCTCGCTCGAATAGTGGTTCTTCAATAAATGTATCTCGCACCACCTCAGCATCCGGGGTTAGTTTAAACGTTTTTAAAGCATGGAACATCACTATTTTTAAGATCTTTTTATTGTCTTTGATTTGAGTTAAAACTATCGTTTTTGAAATTGGATCTATTACGTAAACGGCACCGTTATGCACATCGTTATCTAACGTTGATATGCTTACATACTTTCCTGTTAGATCTTTTAAAAAAATTGGATCACATTTTTCAAGTTGTTCTAAAACATCCATTTTTTGTTAGTTGAGGTTATGTTTTATATGTGTGAAGTTAGTTCTTATTTCAAGTTTCTTTTTTTTATTTTTAATATTTGATTTATTTTTAGATACTTAATTTAAATAACAATTCATAAATTAATTTTAATTTTGTAATAAATAAAATAATATAGAGCAAAATTTGAGATTTGTTGCTAAATTCATATCGAATCCACACGTTTCCTTTTGACATTAATTTTGACATCAATTCTCTAGAATTATATATATACTATATATCTCTTTCAATTAATTTAAAAGAAATTGAGAAAATTAATTTAATTTTAATTTTATGATAAAAAAATAATTTAAAGCAAAATTTGAGATTTGTTGCTAAATTCATATCGAACCCACACGTTTCCTTTTGATGTGCTTTTGACATTAATTTTGACATCGATTCTCTAGAATATTCCGAATCTCTTTGAATTAATTTAAAAGAAATTGAGAATATCGTCTCAAAATGATGGTAAGTATTCATTTTTATCGAAATTTATCTCAAGAATTAAATAATTTCTTAATAACAAAGTAATTAATTATTGACATAACCTCAAAGAAGGCGTTACCGGTTTTTCATTAAACACATGACTCAAAAAATCTAAATTTTCGCTTAAATATGAACGTAATCGTACTATTTACTTCACCAACATTTATTTTATCATAAAAAAACTCAATTATTAAGATTTTTTTTTATAATTTTGTACATAACCTATAAAAAAACTAATTTATGTTTTTTTGTGTAGCAACCGCAAATTCTTCTATTAAAAGAAGGTACTGATACCTCACAAGGTAAACCACAATTAGTTTCCAACATAAATGCCTGTCAAAATGTGGTGGATGCTGTAAGAACAACTTTGGGGCCCCGTGGAATGGATAAATTGATTGTAGATCGAAATGGAAGGGCTACAATCTCAAATGATGGTGCAACTATAATGAAATTACTTGATATTGTCCACCCTGCCGGTAAAACTTTGGTTGATATAGCAAAATCTCAAGATTCTGAGGTTGGAGATGGGACAACAAGCGTTGTTTTATTAGCTGGGGAATTTCTAAAGCAAATCAAACCTTTTGTTGAAGAAGGAGTCCACCCACGAATCATCATCAAAGCGGTTCGTCGATCCTTAACGTTATGTTTAGAAAAAATCAATGAACTTGCCATCAAAATCAGTAAAGACAACACAAAGGAGTTTCGTAGCTTATTAGAAAAATGTGCTGCAACAGCAATGAGTTCTAAATTAATCCACCAACAAAGAGATTTCTTTTCAAAAATGGTTGTAGACGCCGTTTTATTACTGGATGATTTATTACCTTTAAACATGATAGGTATCAAAAAAGTACAAGGTGGGGCTCTTGAAGAATCAATGCTTGTTGAAGGTGTTGCATTTAAAAAAACATTTTCTTACGCCGGTTTTGAAATGCAACCGAAAACTTACACAAATTGCAAAATCGCAATGTTAAACATTGAGTTGGAATTAAAAGCTGAAAGAGATAACGCCGAGGTGCGCGTAGACTCAGTTAAAGAGTACCAAAAAATCGTCGACGCCGAATGGAACATTTTATACGGAAAATTACAAAAAATACACGAAAGTGGGGCCCAAGTTGTTCTATCAAAACTCCCCATTGGAGACGTCGCCACTCAATTCTTCGCCGATCGCGACATGTTTTGTGCTGGAAGGGTACCCGAAGAAGATTTAAAACGTACAATGAAAGCTTGTGGTGGGGCTATAATGACGACAGTTCATGATCTTCAAGATTCAGTTTTGGGAACATGCGCTCAATTTGAAGAGAAACAAATTGGGGGTGATCGTTATAATATTTTCAAAGGATGTCCTCATGCAAAAACTTGCACCTTGATTCTCAGAGGGGGTGCAGAACAATTTTTAGAAGAAACCGAAAGATCTTTACATGATGCTATAATGATTGTTCGTCGTATGATTAAAAACGACGCAATCGTTGCCGGGGGTGGAGCTATCGAAATGGAACTCTCTAAAATGTTGCGCGATCATTCAAGAAGCATCGCTGGAAAGGAACAATTATTAATTGGAGCGATTGCTAAAGCCCTTGAAATAATTCCAAGACAACTTTGTGATAACGCCGGGTTTGATGCGACAAATATCTTGAATAAATTACGTCAAAAACACGCCCAAGGTAATTGTTGGTATGGAGTTGATGTTAGTAAAGAGGATATCAGCGATAATTACGAAGCTTGCGTTTGGGAACCTTCAGTTATTAAGATAAACGCGTTAACAGCCGCTTGTGAAGCGACTTGTTTGATTTTATCTGTTGATGAAACTATTAAAAATAAATCGTCGGGTGCTGGAGATATGCAAGCTCCAATGGGTCGAGGAATGGGGAGACCAATGATGTGAATTTAACAAAATTGCTTTAATTAAAAAAAAAATAGGTTAGATTTGATTTAAAAATGTGATCACGACCGTTTTTTACTTAACAGATCGTGAATATTAATTATTATTACCATTTATGCACGCATCAAATTCAATTTTGATTTTAACATTCTATTTTTCATTTCATTTCGGATTATTAATCACTTAATAAAAGCTATTTAATACAAAAACGAGTTATTTACTTACATTTGAGATTATGTCCACATATCCTAGAATAATTACGATTTAGATTAATTGTTGCAAAAATTGTTCATGCAATTTTTGACATATAATTTTTAATGGCTCCATCTATTGACAATTAGAGTAATTTTGAGTTTATTAAATAATTATCTTTTACCTTAACTTAATTCTCCTAAACATAATATAGAAAAGTTTTTAAGATGTTATTTATGAAGAAATTTATATAAAAGTTAATAATAATTTCTAAGATTTTTTTGTACTAATATTTTAGTGACTCCATCTATTGAGCAAGTTAAGAACGTTAAAATTATATTTATAATAAAGAGAAATGTGCATTTTTTAATCTAAAATTTATAAATATAATTTTTTAATTAATATAGGTACAAAATTAATAAAAAATAAGTAGTAAAAAACTTAATGTTTTTATTAATTAGTATTGTCATTAAAAAGTGGCTCCATCTATTAAACAATATCAGATCTTTTTGACAGACACTAAATAAGGTTATGTTCATATTTTGAATTGGTTTTGATTCAATTAATTTAAAGATGTAACAGAGGTACGAATTAAATTAATTAATTAAGGAATAACATCATTTATTTCATTTATATCCACTGAGTTAATAAATCAACTAAAAGCCTTAATAAGATTTATAAAGAGTAACTTAGTAAATTTAACTAAAGAAAATGTATAACTAATTATTATTAAATTAAAGGATAGATTTGATTTAAAAAAGTAATCACGACCGTTTCCTACTCGACAGATCGTTAATATTTATAATTATTACCATTTTTGCACGCATCAAATTCAATTTTGATTTTAACATTCTATTTTTCATTTCATTTCGGATTATTAATCACTTAATAAAAGCTATTTAATACAAAAACCAATTATTTACTTACATTTGAGATTATATTCACATATCCTAGAATAATGACGATTTAGATTAATTGTTCCAAAAATTGTTCATGCAATTTTTGACACATAATTTTCGGTGGCTCCATCTATGGAAAATTAGAGTAATTTTGAGTTTATTAAATAATTATCTTTTACCTTAACTTATTTCTCCTAAACATAATATAGAAAAGTGTTTAAGATGTTATTTATGAAGAAATTTATATAAAAAGTTAATAATAATAATTTCTAAGATTTTTTAGGTATTAATAATTTAGTGACTCCATCTATTGAGTAACTTAAGAACGTTAAAATTATATTTATAATAGAAAGAAATGTGCATTTTTTGATCTAAAATTTATAAATATAACTTTTTAAGTAATATGGGTACAAAATTAATAAAAAATAAGTAGCAAAGCAATTAATTATGTTTTTATTAATTTGTACTGTCATTAAAAAGTGGCTCCATCTATTAAAAAGTGTCAGATCTTTTTGACAGAAACCAAATAAGGTAACGTTTATATTTTGAATTCGTTTTGATTTAATTAATTTAAAAATATAACAAAAGTACAAATTAAATTAATTAATTAAGGAATAAAATAATTTATTCCATTTATATCCACTGACTTAATAAATCAATTAAAAGTCTTAATGAGATTTAAAAAGAGTAACTTAGCAAATTTAATTAAAAAATCATGTATAACTAATTATTATTAAATTAAAGGATAGATTTGATTTAAAAATGTAATCACGACCGTTTTCTACTCGACAGATCGTTAATATTAATAATTATTACTATATCAAATTCAATTTTCATTTTAACATTCTATTTTTCATTTCATTTCGGATTATTAATCACTTAACAAAAGCTATTTAATAAAAAAAACGAGTTATTTACTTACATTTTAGATTATATTCACATATCCTAGAATAATTACGATTTAGATTAATTGTTGCAAAAATTGTTCATGCAATTTTTGACACATACAATTTTATGTGGCTCCATCTATAAAAAATTAGAGTAATTTTGAGTTTATTAAATAATAATTATCTTATACCTTTACTTAATTCTCTTAATTATAATATAGAAAATTGTTAAAGATGTTATTTATAAAGAAATTTGTTTAAAAAGTTAATAATAATAATTTCTCAGATGTTTTTGGTATTAATATTTTAACGACTCCATCTATTGAGCAAATTAAGGACGTTAAAAATGTATTTATAATAGAAAGAAATGTGCATTTTTTAATCTAAACTTTATAAATATTACTTTTTTAAGTAATGTAGGTACAAAATTAATAAAAAATAAGTAGTAAAAAAAATAATTATGTTTTTATTAATTTGCATTACGATCATTACGATTAAAAAGTGGCTCCATCTATTAAAAAATGTTAGATCTTTTTGACAGAATCCAAATAAGGTTATGTTGATATTTTGAATTCGTTTTGATTTAATTAATTTAAAAATATAACAAGGTTACAAATTAAACTAATTAATTAAGGAATAAAATAATTTATTCCATTTGTATCCACAGACTTAATAAATCAACTAAAAGCCTTAATAAGATTTTAAAAAAGTAAAATTTAATTAAAAAACATGTACATATAAATAATTATTATTAAATTAAATTTAATTAGAATTGTGTTTGGTGAAAGCTAAACAAATCATTATCATGTTTATTTATAATACGATATGAATATCCTGGAATAAATTGAACATTGCCACATTTCCATTTTCAACCACAAAAATATTATAAAAAACAATGACTTTCACTCCATATAATAACGATAATCTTATTTAATTACCTCAAAAAGTGTTCTTTATAAATCCAATTAAGTATAATTTATCAAAAATTTCCTTAAATAAGTGTTGTAGAAGAAGAAACTTGGCAAATCAGCGTTGTATAAGGAAATGTCAAATGATAACTGGCTCACAGCACAACAAAATAAAAACCACATTTTATAACACTATACGTGCACAAATCGACACAGACACACGCATACACTCACTCCCTTGTGCTTAGAATGTGCTTTAGAATTGGTATATAAATCATGGGCGAAGAAAGAGTTATTTATTCAGGATACCTTTTGGTACCACCAACTGGAAAAATTGTTATTAAGGTTAGCAAAGTTATTAATATATTCATAATACATTCATTTTCGTTGGTTTTACAGAAATCTTGGCAACAAAAATACTGTCTTCTTTACAAATCAAGCAAATTCGGAATCGAACGTTTAGAAATCTATGATGACATTGGAACATCAAAACACTCCCCTCATCGAATAATCACCCTCGAAAACTGCATTAAAATCACCCAAAAAACATCAATGACCTTCTCGATAATCACCAAAACAATCTCACAAGATTTTGGCACCCAATCGGAAACATCATTAACCCAATGGATGAATGCTTTACAATCGGTCGCTTTTCGAGACGATACATCTCGCGCGACAATCGTTGAAGACAACGATTTGTATTGTTCGTCCGGTGAAGGTGTGTTTAGCGTTAAATTACACAGTTCGGATGCTTCAGAACGATGTGGATTAGAGCCGATTAATTATACTTTGGTTTTAACTCCAACTGCCATACAGCTAAGAAGTTACAACGATAATAAATTGTTATTTACGTGGCCATATTGTTTCATTCGGCGCTATGGGCATAAAGAAGGAAAATTTACGTTTGAAGCGGGGAGAAAATGCGAAACTGGTGAAGGAACTTTTTATTTAGAACATTATAATGAACTGGAGATATTTCGGTACTAAAACATTTACTAAAATTAATTTTGGAAACATTTAAGAATCATCATGTGGCTTAAAAATCGACGATTTTTATTTTATCAATGTGAAATGACCCAAAAAACACGTTATGCTACACCAATGTGATTGCTAAAGAATTTAGGTGATGTTTGGAATTTTTTTTTCTTTATTAAGTATTTCATCGAATTTTTTGAAACTTTAAAAATGTATTTGTCTAGTATCGAACTATACTGTGTTAATTAAATAACATACCCGACGTCATCATTGCAAGTATACAACAAAAATTACAGCTTACATATGCAACCAATATCACAGTGTTGGTATTGCAATGCGCAAATCGCGTATTGTGTTGCATATTTGCAATGATGACTTTAGGTTCCTCCATTGCTGCAGCGATAACAGTCGATTGAGTACCTAAAATTAAAAAAAACAAATATCAATGTTATTATTATTATTGCTGCCGGGCTGAGGGAAGCGGCCCCTCTCGTTATCACGACCTATAAGATCTATTGTAACTTTAGCCCTCCAAAGGTTTAGGGTAAATGTAGGTCCTTGATGAACCTGCAGTTTTACCGAAAATTTTGTGTCTTAGACGGCCTCTGCTGTTTCTGACTCGTCGTTGCAAAGTCGACAAGTTTAATCCTCAGCGTGTTCAATGTGGAAGAGGTGGTATTTTAGGGGTGCATGGCTGGTCAGGTAATCTGAGAGCATCCTTAGATCCCCTTTGCTGAGGCATAAAACCTCTTTGGTTTTGTTTTGCGACGGAGTTATCATACTCTGGCTTTTTTGTAGTCCACAGCCAGGTTGGGGTCCAATGAAGGGCGTATTCGCTGCTTCTTTGGCCACCTTGTCCGCCTTCTCATTATCCTCAATGTTGCTGTGACCTGGAACCATCATTGCCTCTAGCGAGTTCTCTCAGGTTGCTGGTACATTCTCTGATCAGTGCGGAGTCACACGTGTAGGCCTGCATTGCCTTTTTTATGGATGCACCTTTCTGTCCCTTCTGTAGGTTCAAAGCGGTGCAGAAGTTTATAGCAAGAACTTCTGCTTGGAAAATTGTTATATCCGAGCTGAGGAGCAGTTTAATGTGGCTGTTTGGTTCACTGATGCCCATACCTACTCCGGATCTAACTGTCTTTGAAGCATCGGTCTAGGCTAGGGCTCCTCTTTTTAGTTAAGGCCCACCCTTCGCCCAATCATCCCTGCTTTTAAATATGATCTTATACGGCTGGTTGAAATTGTATCCTGTCGGTATAAGGTCCGTTTTAATTTCAATCAGGTGATTTAGTCATGGGTCCTTGAGGATTTCGAGGTGTCCTCTGAGGTTGCCCTGCATCAACTTGAGTGGAGAAACTATTCAGTGATAAGGTACTTGAAGCTGCCTCCTTTTGTATATATAAATGGAGCGGTGTGAGACCGAGTAGGGCTTCCAAAACAGCCGTCGGACAGGATCTCATTGCACCCGTTATGTTAAAACATGCTAAACGCTGGATTTGTGCCAGCTATTGTTGTGCTGTCTTCTGTTTTGTTTTTGGCCACCAAACCAATGAGGCGTAGGCGACCATGAGTCTGATTATTGCTATGTAAGCCCAATGAACCATTTGTGGTTTGACACCCCAGTTCCTTCCTAGGAGCCTGCAGCAGATCTGGTTTGCCATGATGGCCTTTTTCCTCACCTTATCCAGTTTAGTTTACTGTCTAGTATTACCTCTAGGTATTTAACTTTTGTTTTGAGGTTAAAAGTTCTGCTTTCAAGGGAGGGAGAGGGACTATTTCGATTTTATTTGGATTGATGCTGAGCCCATTGCTTCTACACCAAGTACTGGATCATCAGCATACCACTGAATCTTGAATCCGTTTTTGGTTAGGGTGTTCATCAAGTCATCAACTACCAGGCACCATAATAGAAGTGATAGCATTCCCCCTTGGGGACATCCTCTTAGCGCCTTTATAGTCAGCGACTCGTCTCCCAGACTGGCTGTGATCTGCCGACTTTTCAACATGGCTGTACACCATTTGATTGTCGACGGAAGTATACCTTTTACGTTTAGACCCTTCTCTATGGATTCATAGGAGGTGTTATCAAACGCACCCTCTATGTCTATGAAAGCACATAGGGCTATCTCTTTGGTTGCAATTGCCTCCTCTAAAATGCTAGTCAAAGCATGGAGAGTAGTAATTGTTGATTTTGCTTTCTGGTAAGCCCTTTCTGCTTACCCTTTCTGGTAAGCATGTTGGCTAGGGTGGAATGGATTAATGACGAGCACTCGATTCCTAAGGTATTGATCGATTACCTTTTCCATCCCTTCGAAGAGAAATTAAGTTAGGCTAATTAGTCTGTATGCCTTGGGGTCGGCGTTTGAACGCCTACCACCTTTAGGTATGAAGACCACATTTACTTTCCTCCATAGTGCCGGTATATAGCTAAGGCTATACGTAGCTATATATAGGGATATTATTGCTGGAAGCAGATCTTTTAAGCCTTTTTGCTGAAAAAAAAATATATATATCGATATTAAACTAGAAGATATTCTCCATATCATGACCCAAAGTCCGTTGAGTAAACATACTCTATAGTCTATAAGGATACCCACCTCCCTATGAACGTATGCCCCCCGCAAAGGACTTGCTATGACGTCATTGGAAGAATTGACATTTTTATGTTTTTATTTATACAGGGATTTTCACTTAAGATGGAATACACAAAAATATATTTGTTTATGTCAATATAATCTGACATGACAGTAAAACCTTGATATAACGGATCAATACGAGGAACGCAGTGCCCGTTATAGCTCAATAAAAGTATACAACAATTTACTGCTGAATAACAAATAAAACTAGACTAGCACTAGAACTAACACTAGGCCTAGAAACATTCCGTTTAGCCCTACCTCTCTTAAGACGGCTGGTAGGTGATAGATAGCGCTAGTTAGCATAAATATGACTATGCTGCATATTTTTATTGAACTAAAAGTAGAACTAACACAAGAACTAGAAACATTCGGGTTTTGCCGTTTTAAGAGACGAATGGTTGAACCCAAATGTATCTATTAGTTCTAGGTCTAATATTAATTCTAGTGACAGTGCAAGTGTAAATTAAGAACTTATACCATACCTAGAACCAGAATCATTCGGGTTTAGCCGTCTTTAGAGAAGGCTAAGCCTGAAAGTTTTCAGTTCTAGATTTAGTGTTCTTGTTTTAATTGTTGTGCAGAGTTAGACCAAGAACTAGAATCATTCGGTTTGGGTTGGGTTGGATTGTTGTAGTTCTAGATCTAATGTTAGTTCTAGTGACAGTGCAAGTGTAAAACTAGAACTAACACTATACCTAGAACTAGAATAATTTGGTTTTAGCCGTCTTTAGAGACGTGCGGCTAAACCTAAAGGATTCTAATTCTAGGTCTAGTGTTAGTTCTAGTTTTAATTGTTATGCAGCGCTAGATTGTTGTATATTTTTATTGAACTAAAAGTAGAATTAACACTAAACCAAGAACTAGAATCATTCGGCTTTAGCCTCTTATGCGACACATGGCTAAACCCGAATGTGTCTAGTTCTAGGTCTAATGTTAGTTCTAGTGACAGCTGTGTTGTATTTTATGTGGGACAGTACAAGTACATAGTACTTTCGTAACTGTGGTTTCTGCATTCATATATTGCGAGTTATATGAAATTTCCGTTTATATGAAATGCTGCATATTTTTATTGAAGCCATGCATCTTATGCGACGCATAGCCAAAGGGTTTAAGTTAAGGCTAAACCTGAATGATTCTAGTTCTAAGTATAGTGTTAGTTCTAGTTCTACACTTACACTGTCACTAGAACTAACATTACACCTATAACTAGAATCATTCGGATTTAGCCGTCTTTAGAGATGTGCGGGTAAAGCCAAATGTTTCTAGTCTACTAAGGAGACTAAGCGATCGATAGGCTGGACAACTAGACAAAGACACCATTAATGACCAGTACTATAACCTCTTTCCCACAATACTGGAAGAAATGAACAGAATAGAACCGCCACTCTAGATACTGGGACGTGATGACCATTTTACCATGGAGGAAATGATGTAAATTATTAGACAACTGAAACTTAGAAAAGCTCCAGGACGTGATAATATAACGAATGATATTCTTAAGGCGTGCGTCGGATCGGATCCAGAAGCCTTCTTACAAGTATATAACGATTGCTTAGAGACCGGAAATTTCCCGACTATCTGGAAGGAAGCCAAATTAGTGTTGGTGGAGAAGCCCTTGAAACCGGCCCAACTGCAGTCATACCCTATGCCTACTGACCGCTGTTGGAAAACTGCTAGAAAGGTTAATAAATAGTAGACTCATGGATCAATTGGAAGCTGCGGAGTACTGCAGGGGTTCGTGGTTGGCGGTATCCTGTGAAACATCTATTACAACAAAATAATAATTTTAAAGCAGGTGGAAGGGGTGACCGCGGTGGGTTACGCGGATGATCTCGCATTGGTGATAGAGGCCAAGACAAAAGAAACAATAATCCAAAAAGCCGAATACTTAATAAAGGAGGTCGTGGACTGGCTAGCAAACATGGGTCTTAAGATCGAAGAATCAAAGACAGAAATGATAACCTTAGACAGTAGACAGAAGGAAGCTAAATGACTTAGCTATTAGAGTAGGCGATACAACGATCTTCAGTAAGATGTCTGTGAAGTATCTGGGTGTTATCCTTGACAAAGGTCTCAGGATGCGATGATATCGAAAAAGGCAGCTAAAATCCAAAATGTTATATAAAAAAAGAAAAGTACTGACATTAACGATCAGTTCCGTTGCCGTAAACGCTGCCCCTGCGTGGGAGAGTGCTCTGAAGGGCAAGAAGTACGTTGCAATGGTAACAATGGCCCTGGTTTCTATGCAAATATATTTTTGTATATTGCATCTTAAGTGAAATTCACTGTATAACTTCTGATACCATAAAACATTGCTTAGTGGAACTTTTTTTCGTGAGCGCAGTGGTTTCCAGTCCATATGTTGTTACCAGTAATAGGTTGGATTTGAACACTATCGGTTTCAGGTTAATAGGCATAGGTGAGGTTTTTAGGAGAAAGCCAAGTTTCCCAAACACTGCCCATGTCAATCTTATCATTCTCTTCTTAGCATATCTCTTCTTTCCAAGTAGTTATTAGTCTTTTCATCTAACATTCTGGAAGCAGTAGGTAGCTTTTTAGAAAGCATATCTCTTTTCCAAAGAATTATTAAAATCTTTGAAAGCAATAAATAGTCTTGGAAGCAGTATTCCGCCTGTCCAAGTAGGTCAAATCTTTTAACAGCAGTGTTTAGCTTTCATGGAAGCAATCGATATTATTTTGAAAACAGTACCTAGTCTTTTCCAAGTAATTTGTGGTCTTTTTTTGCAGTATCTAGCATTTTAGGTAACTTTTTGAAATAGTATTTCCTCTTTCCAAGCAGTTTTTAGTCTTTTACTAGCAGTATTTAATCTTCTGATACTAATAATTACTCTTTTTCAAACAGTCAAATTGTCGATTTTTAAGCGACATGATGATTCTTGAATTATACTTTAATTTTTGTATGATTTATTTATATTTATTGTTTTTTTTTAGTTGTATCGCTTCAAAAATGAAATCGATGAAGAAACTTTTAAAGGGCGAATCATCTCCAGCACTTTTAGATTGTGGTGATAATCAATTTCAAGCCGCTTTAACGATGGAACCACGATCAAGATCCCCTTTACCACCATCCCCAACGAGCAGTTCATCACTCAAAGATATCGAAAGTCACGTTTCTAAATCAACTACCATCGAATATTTAGATAAACGTGCCAACAATCCAATTTTTAACGAATTTGTTGTAGGAAAAAAACATCCGCCAACGAAACCCCCGCGAAAAACCCTCCAAAACTTTATTCCCGCCGAAAAAGATTACGAATTTATTAAAAAATATGACGAAATTGAGTATCGAAGTAACGCTTGGCAAGAATTAGGTGTTAACGATGTGAAACATACTGAAAATCATATTGTTAATAGTGATGATGACGGGGAATATGCATCTTGGGGGAACGCTAAAGGTGTGGAAAAACCGGTTAGCGTAACAAAAGTCGTTATGGAACCTTTATTAACACATACAAGTTATGATAAATTAAACTTTTTTGGTTCAACTGGAAAGATATCTTCAAATTCGGGTTATAGGCAGGTTCTACCAACGCCGCCAGTACCTCAAAGAGTTAGCCCCCCATCTTTTAACGATTACGATGAAGTCACAATTTCGATGGAAAGCGTCCGTTTGGCGGATGATTCGCATTTAGGGTACGCTTTAGTTCGAAAAGCTACAACTTCATCGAAAGAAGTTGATCACCAGTTTCATAACAACGATCCTTATGCCATTATTAGTAAGCCGAAACGTGTCTAGTCGAGGAGATGTGATTTTTTTATTGATTTGTATTTAAATCAAGATGCCAACCAATTTTTTATATTATTTTTCGAAACACTCATCAATGACCCCTCTTCACTATGGCTCATGATGAGCCACTAGAATTGTCATTATGATGGCTAGCATGTTTGCTTCCACACAGTGGTATAGTCTAGATGGACCACTCCAAGCAACAGGTGCTGATGACGACCGAAATAGTTAAGCAATGACTGTGTGGACATGCCACTGCGCAGTTAGCTGCGCATGATGGCGCCCTTTGATGTGTGGCCACACTTATGGCCACTTCAGGCCATGATCCATGGTCAGCCAGTGGTCCATGATAAGCCATAGTGAAGAGTGGCCATAAGATTTTTGTTATAACGATTTTATGAAGGAAATAATAACTTTAAGGTTACCAGAATGAATCAAGTGAAATAGGAGGAGTAAAAGCATCACTGTGCAATATTTGCAAAGTTTTTAGGCATAAGTTGCTAATTTCACACCAGAGTTAGAATTTAAGAGAGGGATAATTTCATAATTTTTTACTGTATATGTAAAGTGTGGTTAAATAATTACACAATTATATCATAATGTACTTATTAAAGTTAAATCGAATCAAAAATTTCATACCAATGTGGTAAAAGCTCAGTATTTTTTATATAAAGTTTTGTATATAAATTTTATTTTATAGGACCAAAGAAATATAAATTGGCAAGAACAAAAAATTATAATGTGCCATTTAATTAAGGTGCGAATAAATACATTTTTGTACTTTTATATAAAAAAAGAAATTGTACATAAATCTAAAATAAAACTTGACATTTTTATTTTTTACGATTCTTTATTTCTTCCACGGTAATCTCGGTACACCCGTCAGAAGTACATCTTTTAACAGTTTCTCCCTTTTCGGCCATAATATCCTCGATGTTTCGTTTCCCATCTTGGAACCAATTCAAATTATCCGCAATTAAATGTTTACTTTTACACCCCGAACATGTAACAATCACAACACCATTTTCATACGCCACTTTTGAAATGAAATGATTATTTATTGTATTACATATTTTACACGTATATATTAACTGAAGCTTTCCAGAGACTTTTCCTAATTCATGTTTAGTTGTTGCCTTTTTGGTATCTTTTTCACTACTATAACTTCTTATTGGATATAATTTTGGCGTGTTTTCATGATAAAACTTTATTCCGTTTATTAATGTAGGTATCTCTTGATTAAAAACTTGTCTTCTTATTGTGTATGATAAAATTCTTGTTGATAATCGTCTTATAACGTTCATTGTAAATGCTGATTGAGGTTATGTTTTTTTTTATCATGTGTCAATTTATTCTTCTAAATTAAGTGATTTATTAAAAAATGTTTAATTTTAAACGTTTAAAATAAAGGAAATAAAGAATTTGTTGGGGAAACACTTAAACATTAAAATTTAGAAATAATTTAAAAAAAATGTGAGGTTATGTCTCAGTTGTGTCACGAAACGTCAGATCAAACGTCAGATTTGGTGTACAGTGTGTGTGCAAATGAAATTAAATGAAGTGATTTACACTCAAGTTTCTGTATTGTTGCTACCTTATAAATAAATGATGTAATATAGATGATAATTAACACAATTAACTATGTGAGTGGTTCAATTTCTGTCGAGAAATGTAAATACACAAAAAATTCGCCGGGTGGTTTAAGCCATAAACTAGCTCTGCAGAAGAGCAACCAAGATCTTCTTTTAGAAAGCACCGAAGCCCTAAAGGAATAATGGGCAGATCGTTATTCCATCTGTTACCAGCTCCGCGAGCAGTAATGGCTGTTTTGAGAGTTCTATGAAATTTCTCCAACATATCATTAGGTACTTTGGGGGTGGTAAGAGAAAGCTCGAATTTGGTTGGTCCTTGAATCTCCTTTAATATGTTTAATCTCTGATGTAAAATGAGTAAGGTAGTCTAAATAGCGAGATTCACGAGGTGATTTGTTTGAACTGGAATAAAAAGAATTTATCAAAGGTTTATGGTCTAAAAGTTCATAAAAGACATACAAAATGCAGTCTGGGTGTCAACACCTATTTTAACACCAAAAACCTAAATCTAACATTTATCTTAAATTCATTAGAGACAAAATGGCAGAAAAACGGAAAGCAAGAAAGAAGATAACACCTGTGGAAGAACCTTCTCTGTGGAAGGCAACACAAAAGCTTAAAGTTCCAAAAACACATACACCGCCAATTCGAAATAGTAATGGAAATTGGGTTAAGAGCAATCAAGAAAAAGTTAATTTGTTTGCTAAACATCTGAAAGAAACTTTTACACCAAACAACCATGTTAAATAGTGTTTCTGGCATAATTCAAAGTGATCAGCAGAGTAATATACCATGTGTGCTATGACCTAATTGATGGAGAAACATTGAAATATCTACCAAAACGGGCGATTACAAAACTATTACACATAATTATTGCTGCTTTTAAACAGAAATACTTCCCTAGTATACAGGATGTCCCACGTAAGCAACAAAGAATATAAATGTCATTGAGGAGCCGAGATACGCAGTTCTTCCTTAGACAAAAGTTGTAGGAAATTTAGCACACTATAAACGGAATATATTTTTATACATACAGGGTGTCTCAGCGATTATACACTAGGTTAATATCGATATGATATGTGAGCATTTTTCAAAAAACCCTAATTATTTCTCAAACTATTAATGTTAGGCATAGGACATATGGAATATAAAAGATGTAAAATGAGACGC